AATAAGGGTGTGATAGCTGAAGCTGCAACATCCACCTTGGACCATGCTGTAATGAGCAAGAGAACCATAGACGTCAAGGCTAAGGCCTCAGCCCCACTGTTTTCAAGCCACTTAACCAGTGCCAGCAATTGCTCACCTCTGGATCTCTTGTCATATGAGAAAAATATTACTCCCCCTTCTTATACCCACTAGAGTCAGATTTTTTCCCCTACTTTCAAGTTTATCAAATATATAAGCTTGTTAATAATAATCAGTAATAATAATAATAATAATCAGTCACTAAGTGTTTGAGATAAGCTTATCAACTATATAACCTTGTTAATAATAACCAGTAACAATAATAATAATAATAATCCATCACTGAGTGTTTGAGATGAACCTTGCATTTTATGTTTCGTGTACACTTAGTCATTTTATTCTCATTACAAGTCTATAAAGCAGGCACTATTATTTTTCTCATTTCATAGATAAGGAAACTGAGGCAGAGTTTTATCCAGCTTTCTAAAACCACACAGTTGATAATGGGATTCAAATCTAGCTGGACCTTGAAGTCCCATTCAGCAAATAGTATTCTAGGCTCTGAGACACTAAAATCATTTCAATTAAAATCAGGAATTAAATGGGGATTCCTACTACATCAGTATTCTTATTACTCTTCCATGTTAGGTATATGTTTCTCCACAGGATTACTTTTTGGAAAAACAACTCTTCGTTGTGTGAGTTGTTACGTATTAGAGATATTTGACATCTCTGTTCCCTGGGTCCTAGTGGAAGGATACTCTGGATGTAGTGTCACCAAAAGTGCCCTCCACACTTCCCCCTAGGGAAGCAGCCTAACCCCATGAAAACCATGCTACCATCAGTGCTAGGGTGCTCACTTAGCATGCACACAGCCTAGGATCGGTACCCAACACTGGAAAATAAATAAAATAGCAAGCAACTTCTAGAATAAGACTGGCAAACTTTCTTTCTCAGTAAAATCAAAATGGTAGAGTTTTGTTCATTCTCAATCACAGCTACTGCACTCTGACATTATTGAGTGAAATCGTCATAGATAATCCATAAACAAGTGAGTGGCCTTGTGTTCCACTCAAACTATTCTGACCCTATTTTATTTGAGAACCCTGAGACTTACAGTAGCTAAAACTTGCCTGAGGTGATTCAATTAGTAGGTGGTAAATTTGGATTGGATCCATTGGCAGAATGATTTCAGAAGGTGTTCTCTTATTCAGGACATTATTGATTTCTCAGATTTGAGATGATTTTCTCCCAGTCAAAGGCAGAGTAAATGCCTCAGAGAGCTTCTCACACTCCAGACTCTGGCCCCCTTTATCTGTCTTGTGCTGGTTGCTTCTTTTTACCTAAGGGCCCTGTGGGACTTGCCCCTTTGATGGCCTGGACCAGCACTATAAGGACATGTGTCATGCTCACCCACATCTCAAGCATAAAGACACCTCCTGGTTGGCTCTCACACACAGACACAAAGACCAGCCCTATGAAATTGACCACTAGGACAGTAACTCAGTGATCTGTGACTGTTTTTATTTTGCACACCACAAAGTCTCATCAGAGAGATCATAAATCAACTGTTGCTTATTGAAGTACACAGAAATATAGAGCTCTTGGCCCATGGTCTGGTACGTGGAAGAGCTCTATAGTAATTGATAACATTAATAGAATAGTATCAGTAGCAAGCAGATATCACCAGTCCATGTGTGAACATGTGTGCAAATTCAGGAAATGCACCAAGGCTAAGAACATCCAAGTCAAAATCATGGTGCTAGTGGATAGGGTTGTGGCTGCTGACACAGAATATCTCAGTCCACGTGTTTAGATGGGAAGCAAGACAGATAGTCTAGGAGAGGACAAGACCCTAAATTTACCCACCTAGGAACTAAATAGATGTGACCTGTTCCAGACGATGGTGAGGATGATGATACAGATTTTACTGCTCCTCAGCATCTAAGACACAACAGTCATTGGCACCAAAGTTGGGGCTTGGTGGCTCTTCATTTTCCATAGTAGGCAGGTGGGGAACTTAGCAGTAATGCAAGAGACAGGCTACCAAAGTGAGGAAAATGTCATGGTTTTCAAGGAGAACTAGAATATGCTAGCTTTGATAATAGCTAGTTTTGTAAGGACATGCTTTCACCACAGATACTAAGTGTATCAGGGGAAAGTAGAGATACCAATAAATCAATTATGTTTAACAAATCAGTAGATTATTTTCTCTTCTAGTAGTTTTTTTAAAAAACAGAATTGACTTGTTTTTGCATTGTGTTAACAATTAGGAGATAAATTTATCTTAAGAATTTATGAGTGTGGAATTTAACAATGCTTGTGATAAAAACATACATTTCAAATCTCTAAAGCTTTTATTTAATACAAGTAAAATTGTCAGGGAATACATAGTTGTAATACTACCTTTTCAACTGTCTTTGTCATCATTTCATATCCTCTCGTGAAATGATTTCTTCGTAATAAGCTCAACGTATATGAGAAGGTTATGATAGGTAAATAACTTTGCCTAATATCATTAACTAACAGCTCAATTATACTGTGAAGTACTGGTAATTGTCATGAAGCTTCAAAATCCTTATCATGATTCTATTATATGTACAATTCATTTAAATTACATTAATTATACAGATTTTTAATGAAGCAGAGATTGCTTTCCATTTTTCACAAGTAGAGACAATAATCAAAATATTTATGTGCATATTATATATTGTGTTCTGTTGATATTCATAAAATAATTCATTTACTCAGGCAATATTAGTACCTTGGCATGGAAAGGAAAAAGGCAAGCCTAATATTTCTCTTCGGGGTTTCTTGGAAAAGTAGATCATTTTTTCCATTGTATTAAAATCTTGGTACTAGGAGTGAACCTGGAGCCTTTGTACTTCACATCCTCAGACATTTTCTTATTTTTTACTTAGAGATAGTGTTACACTAAGTTATGCAGACTGGGGTTAAACTCATGATTCTCCTGCCTCAGCCTCCCTAGGGTACTGGGATGACAGGTTTACACCATGACACCCAGTTTAGATAGTTCTTTTAGTTACTATCTAACACAATTCAGCAATGTTTTCAGAAAATGAAATATTACCTATTTGAACAGTATTGAATAACACCTATAAAATGGTTTGAAAACCAAGCGCGGATCCCAGAGTTCGCATCCAAAGACACCTGGCCAAGTGACTTGAACATTCTGGGCCTCAGCCAACTCTTCTTTAGACTTAGAATAACAACATCCGGTAGTGAGACTTTAAAGAGTCCTTAACACAATGCCTACACCATCATTACTACTAAATAAATATTTTCATTATTTATTTTCCTGTTTGGGCATTCAATTTAACATGGACAGTAATAATGCCTAAGTTCATCTATACAATATAGTGAGAGTGTTTTCCTTATTAAAATTCCATAAAGTCAGTGCAAGCTAACCTTGTGAGCTAAACTGTAAATCCCCAAATACCTATTTGGAGGAGTATTTCCCCAGGTGATGAGGCTTTGAACACTGTGATACTGAAAATTGTCTGCCTATCAAGTTGTTATTAAAACTTCTGTGACCATTGTCCCAACTCCAAGCATAGGAATCACAGGGAGAAACTAAGGAGGACAGAAATAACAGTGTTCAGATCTGCATAAGGCTGGAGTAGAGACAAGGAGGGTCCCAGCCAGAGAGTGAAGAAGAAATGTAAAATAAAAGCAAGTGTAATGTGGCAAATAATCATCCTCCTTCTTTCCAGGCCTCCCTGGCTCCTTTTCTCTCATGTACACCACTGCCCAGGGCAGAGTGCGCCCAACACCCAGCAAGGAAACCTGGGTAAGAACAGGCTTCCTGAAAAATGCAGTCACCCTGCTTCTTTTCACCAATCAAAACCAGAAAGCCCCACCCGAATCCCCTGCTTTCTAAATATTTGACCGGAAATCTAACTATATAAAAAGAGGGCCCTTGGAAGATCATCAGTGAGGAGCCATTGTTTATTAGAAGTTCTGGGGCCGAGGATTTAGCTCAGTGGTTCCGCCACCTGCCTTACAAGATCAAGGTCCTGAGTTCGATCCCCAGCAAAAAGTTCTGTCCCACTAAAGCCTGTGCAGCAGAAAGTCTTAGATGTATCAGCATTGGTTTTAAAATCCTTTGGGGACAGCACTTCATCACAGATGATTAAGGAGGTAGAAATAAGAGTGAGGAGAGGAGAAAATAAACATATGCAAACCACTTCCTGTTCAAGTGCTGGGTTCCCTGTGTTGTGGCCAGACCTGGGGAAGTGGTACAGATAAGAGAAATGAATGAGGGCAAGGGAGGACTCTGCTTGATTTGGTGTAATAACATTTACTTTGCAGGATTATATACATATATAATTCCATATTCTAACATTTCTATAGTTCTTAATCATCCAGAATTAGAGGGCCGGGGATTTAGCTCAGTGGTTCCGCCACCTGCCTTGCAAGTGCAACATCCCGAGTTTGACCCCTGGTACCAAAAAAAACCCAAAAAGAATTATAAAGTCTTTAACCTCCTTTTTTAAAGTAAATATGCTATGAAATCTTGCTAATGACTTGCTGCTTTTCTTCTGTGATTTCACCTGCTTGCTCCAAATCTGATCTTTATTTCTAGAGTAGACTAAACTGCCCTTAAGATACATCTAGTTTAGCTTGATATTCTTGCTGCCAACGTCCTTCTGGCAAACCTCCTGCAACTTCCTGGCAAATCTCTCTGTTTTAAACATTTTAAAAATCTAGCAAATAAGAGAAACCCGATTTGAAACTATGCTACAGTGGACTCTAGAGTTGGACTCTATTTTTCTCTTCCATCCTCTGGCCCACTCTGCAGAACCAGTGGCAAGGAACTGTGTTGACCAAGAGGCAATCGGTAAAGAAGAAACAAGGAGAAACTAATGATTCAATCAGGCAGTGACTACACAGCCAAGCCTCGAATAGCTAACTGTAGTCAGGAAGTTGCAAAAAATACTAAAATGTGATTTTTCTTCTAGATGGGAGATGAGGAAGGATGAGACACTGAAAGAGGAAGAAAAAGTGATGCTGGAACATTTAAAACGAATTTGCACCATACAGAACTCTTCTGCCTCAGATAACACAGAGGATCAGTAATCTGCAGAAAACAGCAACAGCTTTATTTTAGGAAACAATCTCATGTAATGGAGTAGGATTTTTACTATAGTTGGAATGAATCTCAGATGTGCCGTGAAGCATGAAACCAATGACTGAGTAATCTCTGTACTGAAAAGGAATACTGTGCATAAAGAATAAAGTGCTCCATATTTTTTATTTTAAAAATAATTTCAAATGTTTGCCTTTCCCCGGTTCTCTCTGTATATGATAAAACTGCTGCCATCTCCTGTTCCCTTTGAATTATGTTTTCCTCCTTTCAGTCTCAAAGTATCTATGACAACAGGCAAAATGTTTGGAAATCTTTTCCCTGAGGATTTTTTAATACAACATTTGGATATTAAGTTGAATGAAATCAGAAAATCCCCTGAGAGTCATCTGAAATTTTTAATTTAATTTTGCAACTCTAGTCCAAGTCCGGGTGTTAAGTGTCTTTAATACCTGCTCTTGGATCAGCCTCCTTCTCCACATACCTCTTCTTTCTCCAATTTATCTTAACCATAACCACAAAAAGCATTCTTTTGAGCTATTAACTTTGTCATATCTCTACTTGTGATGGTTTTCAGTTCTCCTAAATCTGATTCAACCTTCTGCACCTAAACCTTCAGGTCCTACATTACCAAATGATTTAAGGGCACACAACTGCCCCAAGTCACATACTTAACTACCATTTTCCTCACCAGAAGCCATCTTTCTCCCAGAGTGATACTCAGGAGTCATTCCAGCAGTTCATGGTCCATAATGTCTGTTGCCTTGCTTGTTTGCATTACATCAATATACACATGTGTGCATGCACAAAGGAAACAAAATGTGTTCTACCACCTTCTCTGTCAAGTAAAATTATAGATATTTACTATTTCCTTCCTATCAGTGCCTGATGCTAGATTATAAAGATCTCGAAGGGCCTGAGATAGAATGTGAAGTCTCCCTTTATAAAAGGTATGATTAAGTAATGCATTGAATGTTTAAATTTCAAAACATTTATTACAATAAAAGACACACTGCCATTAATCGTCCTCAGAATACTCCCCCTTGCTTTAGGCATGCTTATCTTGTCCTTGCTACTTTCTGAAGCAGTTCTGGAAGTACCCTTTCATAAATGTCTTTTGTTGTTTTGTCCTGGCTGCTTCCATGTCCTGAATGGATTCTAAGCGTTTACCTTTTATCTTCCTTTTGACTTTGGAGAAGAGCTAGCAGTTGCATGGTGTCAGATTTGGTGAACAAGGTAGATGAAGATACACTGATGTTTTTGACAGAAATCGCCATGAACATTTGATTAATGATGGGTGATCATAAAATATGGTGAATATTTAATTATTTTAGAAATTATTACAGTAAAAGATATATTGTCATTACTGTAATACAATTTTTAAAAATGTAAATACGATATCTTTCTATCACTCTTTGTGACTCCCTTTATGTTTATTACTCTGTTACTCATAGAGTGGGAGATTATTAAATGGCTGCCAGTGAAAGAAGATAACAAACACAATGAAACAGTTGAACAATCTGCAGACATCTGGGAGAAGCCTTATGTCACAGGCTATTTTAGATCATATGACATCAAACATCATGGTTACTGATGTTCTTAGATATAGAACTGTCCATGCTCCCACATTCTGTGATTTTTATAAAATATGTGTAGGCTACATAATTTCCAAAGGAAAGTACTCATGCATTTTCAAATAGTAAAAGTTGGGAGTGCAGAGGAGGCCACTGTAGAAAATGTCTTGCATCTCTTCTTTAAATAAAAATTCATAAATGGCCACGTACCAGCTGCCTGCCAAATAACACATTTTATTTTTAAAGAATGTTATTTAGTTGGCCAGTATAATCATGAACCAAGTGTTTTCAAATATGGTTGAAATAATTTCTAAACATTCTATGCAGACCATTTTAAAAGTTGCAGAAAATTTTTAATGAAGATTGTACGTTTCATCTGATCTTATCTATATACTGTGTAGCAATCAATATAAGGTAATAGTTGATGATTCCTTCAGCTAATTGGTAGTCTATGGTTTGGAAGACCAGACACTAAAATGGAAAGTCAAAATGAAAATAAATCAATCTAAGAAACCAAACTAAACAATCTCATAAAGTTACAGAATTTCACATTTGGATTAACTTCTGATATATCTAAAGGTCATCTTTTAAAGTTGTTTTTCTTTTTCTTTTCTTTTTTCTGTGTTACTGAAGATTGAATCCAATGGTGCTCTACCACTGAGCTACATCCTCAAGTCTTTTTTTCCCTTCCTTCTTTCCTTCCTTCCTCCCTTCCTTTTTAGACAGGATCTTTCTAAGTTGCCCAGATGAAACTCTAACTTGCAATCCTTCTGCCTCAAGTGCTAATATTACAGACATGTACTTGTTCTTTGAATCTGTGTATTTCTGTCCTGATTCTAGGATGAAATTTAGTTTCTGGGCAGGGGAGGGGGGCATTTTTCTATGATTTCCATTGGAAAGAGAAATATAATAGGGGAAGAATGAAATGATTTCAAAAGAAAAGTGGAGGAGAAGGAAAGCTTACAACTGAACTCTGTTTTATACTTGCTCAGTGAAAATACTATAGACATAAGTACAACGAAGTTTATAATTGGGAATGTGAAATGATGTCATTGATTTAGTGTGTCATTTTGACTTTATACATAATATGTTTTAAAGAATAAGTAGTATTGGGCCAGGGATTTAGCTCAGTGGTTCTGTCGCCTGCCTTGCAAGCGCAAGGACCTGAGTTTGATCCCTGGTACCCAAAAAAAAGGAATAAGTAGTATTTCAAGACCATATTCTTTCTCACATTTATTTTACATTTGTGTAAGTTAACAACAGAAATGAAGCTTAACATTTTATAATTCCCCATATGCCTATTACAAAAATATTATTTTATAAAATGTTATCTTCCTTCTGTGTTCTGTGTAACTATTTTTATATAATTATAAACAGATGTCCATTTCATTATTGGTTTAGCAGTTACTATATGGAAATAGTATGAATTAATTTTTAAATAAGTTATAAATGAAATCTATTTCAGATTTGTATATGTTGTCATCATTGAAACGTTCTTATAGCACTACCAAACAAAGAATGGGAAAAAAAAATCACTTGTTTTTTTCTTACCAATATGGCCTACTCATAACATCCTATTATTTCACTTTATATATTTCTGAGGCCAAAGGAGCTTTAGGTAGTTTATAATTAGCTTTTCCAACTATGAAACATTTCCACTAAAATGTATTAGCTATATTCACCCTTAAAAAAGGAAGGAAATCATACCACAAACAACAGCATGGAAAAATTTTAAGGAAAATATAGTAAGCGAAATAAGCCAATCATTTAAAAAATATTGTTTGATCTCACTTATTTGAGATATCTAAAGTAGTCCAATTCATGGAAATAGCAGAATTGCAATGAGAGGGAGGAAGAAAAGATTTTTGAATTGGTAGATAGTTTCAAGTTTATAATATGAAAAAATTTCTGGAGATCTGTTTCACAACAATGTAGACATACTAAACACAACCAAACCATTTAATGGTTAGGATAGTAAATTTTATGTATTTTTTAAAATGCAATTTCTAAAAAACCTGTAGATGGAATCTCCATTGACAAAACATTCCCAACATTTCATGTGAAGGCTCTTGAATTTTAATAAGAAACTATGAAGCCAGAATTTCAGCATCATTCACTATTCCACATGATGATAAAAACTACTCACTTTGCCTTTGGGAAATGTTTTCAGTTACACCATTAGTAGGACAGTAAACTCTTATTTCTCCAGAATTTAAAGAATCAATAACTGCTTATAACTCTTTTTCCATCAAAATACTGTGATGATTACTTGCTGGAGTATATATCTGATTAATTACTTATTGCTGCATCATATTATTACCAGAACCTAGAAGGTTAAAACCACACACATCTATTATCCCACAGCCTCTGCCAATTGTCTGGGCATGGTTTAGCTAGGTTCTCTGCTTAGCGTCTCACAAGTACCAAGGAAGCTTAGATCTTTGGTTTCATCTGCGATTCAACTAGGGAAGGGTACACTTCTAAGTTCATGTGGTTTGGGGCCACATTATTACTTTGCAGGATACCAGACTAATGGCCTCCGTTTCTTACCAGGTGTTGGTCAGAGGGCACCATCAGTATTTTGCCATGTGTCATCCTGAAATGTTCCCTTGTTTCTTCAAAGTCAAAGATTGATAGTGCAATCTTATGCAACTGATAATGAGCATATCACCATGTATATTCCTTCATCCTTACCAAATGCTAAAGGCAAGTCACTCAGCCCACAATGCCTGGGGGAAAAAGATCACACAAGAACATGAATGTGGAGGTGAGGATGACAGGACCCAGCCTACAGTTTGTCCACCTCAAGGTGGAAGTTAAATAATGAGATACCTTGTCTGGGAGGAATGAAAGAAGAATTGGCTTAGAAACAAGATGAATTGGGTGTTAGAATTTATTACAATTTGTCGGGCAGCTACAGTAAGCCAGGATCTGTGCCAGACTTTCTTTAACAAGACTCTCCATCTGTAAGTATCTCACTCATTTCTAAGTCCCTACTAAGGCAGCTCTTGAGAATACCACTTGAGGTAGTAAGAAAATGAATTGTAGAGACATGAAAAATGAACCCAAATTTTAAATAAAGATACACTGCAAAGGTCAGGCTTTAAAACACCACCTCTACCCCTACCACACGGTACTAACAAATGAAATATAACAAATAAAAAGACAGAAGACCAGATCTGGGCTGAAATTAAAATAGACTGGAAATGAAAAGAAATATTTCCAAAACTGCTCCTCCGATACTACCTTCCAGACTGACACTTCCAAAAGCTCCACAGACTCGTCCCCTAAGGAGCATGTTGAAAATGTTGCTTAAAAAGATAACCTTGTAAATGCTCTGGAAATGGTTCTAAGGGCAAACAGCAGATGACACATCCATTCAAGGAAATCTATGAAAACTGGGTGTTAAAAATGAAAGTCTGTGGAGTTTGAGTCCAGACCACTTCCTCCCTCTCTGATCCAGCTCATCAAGGTAAAGACTCCACTGCAGACGGCTGGAGCCACTAACGCAGGGCTCCCTCTACCCCAGATGTAGGTGGAGGAGGAGGACTGTCCCCACCTACCCTCTTCCAGCAACACATTCTTGAACTTCCCAGTCTCCAGAAATGTGAGCCAAATGACCCTATATTCTTTATAAATTACCCAGTTTCACTTATTTTGTTACAGTAACAAAAGACAACTAAGACAGTTTTCCCACTGATACTATGTCTATTCCTGTCCTCTGCTCCCAGTAAATTGAGTCTCTATCTGTCTGTAGTTCTTGCCAGACTTAGAAGAGTTGTTGATTTTCATTTTGTACAGATGTTTTTCGTAGTGGTGAGTGATTGCCATGCAAGCTCTAAGCTTTTTAAATGTCGAACTAGGAAGCTCTAAGTCACTGTGAAATGTCCTCTTTCACACGTAAGAAACCCACCCCAATATATCTGGAAAGAAAGGGTATGGACTGTCTTGTCTCAGACTCGCCACTGTGAAAAGTTTTTGATTAGTAGGTGTTTGCAGTGCATAATGTTTACACTCCTTGTGTGGAACTGGTACGTGTACCTAACACAGCTTAATTCCCTTTTTCATCCCCTTTCTCCTTTTCTTCCCTCCTTCTCCTCCCTCCATCTCACAGTCACCCTCTCCATTTGAGAAAGATCTGTCTTCTTCCTATAATCCATCTTTTATTTTGCTCTTTATTTATGATTTGGCTTTCTCACATTTGAGAAATGATGTGATACTTAAGCTTGTGTGTCTTATTTCATTTAACATTATGGTTTCCAGGTGCATCTGTTTTTCTACTAATGACTCAAGTTCATCTTTCTTTATGACAGAGTAGTACTCCAGTGTGTTTAAATACCACATTTTTTTCATCTATTCATCCATTGATGAACATATAGGCTGCTTCTAGGTAAACTGTTCTGCTAAAACATGGGTATGCATGTACCACTGTAGGTTGATGTCTTTAATTCTTTCAGGAAGATACCTAGGAGGGGAATAGCTGGGTCAAATGCAATTCCCAGTTTTAGTTTTTTGAGGTATCTCCATACCAATTCCATGGTAAATATACTAGTTTACATTTTCACTAACAATCTAGTGGTGTTTCCTTTCCTCCTTCAACCTCATGAACATTAGTTATTGTTTGCTTTCTTGATGATAGTCATTCTGGAGTAAGATAGAATCTCAGTGTTGTTTTAATTTGCATTTCTCTAATGCCCAGCAATGTTGAACATTTCTTCAGGTACTTATTGGCCATTTGTACTTTTGTGAAGTGTCTATTCATTTCAGTTCCCCATTTTTTCATCGGGTCTTTTATTTGGGGGGCATCTAATTTGCGGGGGGAGGGGGGGTACCGGGGATTGAACTCAGGACCTTGTGCTTATGAGGCAGGCACTCCACCACTTAGCTAAATCCCTGGCCTGGGGCATCTAATTTTTTGAGTTTTTAAAAAATATATTCTCAATATTAGTCTTCTGACAAAGGAATAGCTGGCAAAATATTTTCTCATTCTCTAAGCTCCCTTTTCACTTTGTTGGTTGTGTCTTTTGCTATGCAGAAGCTTTTTAATTTGATACAATCCCATTTGATGATTTCCAGTACTATTTCCTATGCAACTGGAGTTCTGTTTAGAAAGTCCTTGCTTATTATGCCTATGACTTCTGAAGGTTTTTGCTTTTTCTATCTTCCATCAGGTTAAGTGTTTATGTTATGACATTTAGATTTGTCTCAGACTCTCCACTTTTTAACTTCTCTTCCTATACTCATCCTGTTAGTTTGGGATCTTCAAAGACAGTTTAGGAGTGTAAAAGAAAAGTTATTATATACAAGGACCAATGTCTTCTTTGTACCAAATGCTCAAATGCTAGTGCTTTTAGTCATTCAGTACATTTCAGTAAGCTTTTGGACTCCAAGTCCAGGAACTCCAACACTGATATACCCTGAATGCTGGTGGTAGCATCTCCCAGTTCCCATGCAGCTTTCCTTCTAGCAGCTTACTTCACACAGCCTTGCTCAGTTCTGAGGTTTGCTTCTCTTTCCCTTCTTTCTACTAGAGTTGCCTCTCTCCTTTTTCAAAACAGTTCCATGCCAGTGTTATGGGTTGAATTATGTCCCACCAAAATGATACATTGAAGACCTACCCATGGGTACTTGAGCATGTGACCTTATTAGAAATAAGGCCCTTATTGAGGGAACCATGGTAAAATGAGGTTATTAGAATGGGTGCTAATCCATATGGCTTGTTTTTCTGCAAAAAAATTAAACAGATAAACACAAAAGGAGAATGCCACATGAGGATAAAGACAGTGATTGAATGATGCATATACAAGCCAAAGAACATGTTTAAAAAGCCACAGCAGAAGAGAAGCTATCAGAGAGGCATGGAGCAGATTCTCTCTCATAGCTCACAGAAGAAACTAGATCTTGGACTTCAATTCTCCATGATACAATAAATGTCTGTCGTTTAAGCCACCTAGCTTGAGAAACTGTATGTCAATCCTAGTAGATTAATACACTCAGCCTTGTACCAGCATGTCTACTAGCTGTTAGGAAAGTGTAATAGTTCTTATCTCTTTACTGTCACCACAGGTACTCTCAGTCAGTCTTGTCTTTATTTTCACAGAAGAGAGTTACATGATCACCTTAGGGACTACATTTCTTAAAGTCCAAAGTTATTGGCTAACCCCCCCCCCGCCCCAAACAGCCCCTCTTACCACTGTCTTACTTATTACAAGGATTGTATGGCTAGGGAAAAGATTGTTTAGGATCTCATAGGCTTATAAAAACAATTCTGGATTTTAGTCTATTTAAGTGAGGAAGCTATTGAAGATTTTGAACAGGAAAGCGACAAGTTCTGATTTGAATTTTTAAAAGATTTTTATATCAGACAATTGGAGAATAGATGGTACAGAGGTTTAAAAAAGCATATAGAACAATTAAGAGACAGTTACTGCATCTGGCATGGACAGAAAGGATAGCAGTAGAGATGCTGAGAACAGGTTTGATTTAGAGTATCTTTTGAATAAAGAAGCAATAGATTTCACTGAGGAATTGTTCATACAATGAGAGGAAGTGAAATAAGAATCAAAATATAACCTTTGTTGTCCATGTAGGTGATTTTGCATGGTTATATCTACTATGAGGGATTTTTGTCATAATGCTGAGTTCAGAAATTAATGTCTGCTGGGGGTGTAATGACAGTTTTCCACAGCTATTTCATATCTATATTATTATTCAGAAGATCATAAGAAGGGCTGGATCAGAAAGTCTATCCTTAACCAGACATAATTATGATTTCTTTTCTGTTTTGACCACTATCTCCCATCTAAATAAAATTTATGTAAGAGTACATCCCAAATATTGGGAAGTAAAGAATTTGTCCTTTCCCAATGAAATATCTTGTCCTCTTTGCTCAGATTCTGGGGTAATCAAAGTCATATCTAATTGGAGAATCTTTGTTTAGGGTGAAGAATGGCTATGTCTAACAGTCTTGGGGTAAGGTTTCCCCATGCTAAAAAGACCACCCATGTGACTTAAGGTGGAAGGTTTGGGTCATGTGGTATCCTTTGGCCTGGCCAAAATCAACCAAGTGAGTAATCAATCAATCAATCATGCCTACATAATGGAGCTCCAATAAATATTCAAAATGTTGAAGTTTTAGTGAGCTTCTCTGTTTGGCAGTACCCCAATGCAAATTATCATGCTTGGATGCTGGGAAGATAACATGTCGTGACTCAACTGGGAGAGGATAACAGAAACTGTTTGGTACCACCTAGATTCTGCCTTATGTGCTTCCTGTCTTGGTTGGCGTCAATCTGTATCTTTTTCCTGTAATAAACTATGACCATGTGTATAACAACTTTCAGTAAATTCTCTGAGGCCTTCTAGAAAACTGTCAAACATGAAGGTCTGGGGGAGCTTCTTAATGCAGTTGATGTCAGAAATGAAGTCATGTGTCTGGGCCCTTAAATCTTGCAGTTTGTCTAGCTCTAGGTAAATGCATCCATCTACAAGTTGTCCCCATCACAAACTAGAAGCAATTTTGCTTGTGTTTTTGAAACTCTCTTGAAGTATACTTTGTAAATCAATATTTTATCTTCTCATATTTTTAAAAATTCCAAATACATAGATGGGGATTATAGAGGGTTTAATTACAAGTAATAATCATTTTAGTGGGGCAGATATTGGAAATACTTTGATTTAATGATTCCATTTTTTGAGCTTTGAAATATATTGAATCTAGGAGGCAGAACTTGTCATTACTATGCTACAGTTCACTTATACATACTTAGACTTAAGTAAAGGTAGAAATGTTGATTGTTCTAATTTAGGTCAGAATTCAGATTTCACTCCAATAGAACTGGTCAGTGTGGACAGAGCATTTCTTTAGCATCTAACCAAGAATGTTTTTCTTAATGATTTTGTCTGAGCTGCTAAAATGTTGGAGCTGAGTTCTAGTCATAGCAAGGGAATTCTAATTTTATTTTTTAATTTCCATAAATAACATGTTATTTGATAGTATATTTGTAGGTATCAGCTGTTACTGAGATATTTGATATGGAGGACACAGGTGGACTGATAAATAAACAGATGGGAAATAGCTTTGTATAGAGGAGGAAATGCCAAATATGGTGTTGGGAATTTCTTTGATCACCCCAGTGATCAAAGATGGACCACCTGTTTCCTGGGACAGAACAAATTTCTTTCTATTTTCTTTATCTCTGTCAGTTCATGAAGTATAAAAGAAGGGTGGTGAGAAAATTGGAGTTTCTGGCTTCCCTAGAGATATATAAATTAAGACCAAAAATAAACAAATTAGCTTATACAATTTACAAAGCTGTTGTTTTAGAAGGGATTTGTGCCTCCCCCTCTATATATATATGAAGAAACAGAACTTAGAAAAAGTTGCCTTACATATGTGTAGTCACGATTGTAGTAGTTTTGCTAAGAACACAGGCTGCTATAAAATATCTAAACTCACATGCAACCATTTTGTTATTTTTCCTCCTTTCTCCTTGTAGATTTGTAGGAGACATTTTTGTAGCCAGCAGAGACACAACTCTACTCCATTTAGGGCAGGATGAAGGGAGCAAAGCACTCATTCTATTTCAGCGAATTACCTCTTTATTCTTGATTTTGTCATTTTAGATAGAATTGGATGTGAAAATACAGTTTCCTATTGGTTGTTATTGTTAAACCCAGCGAGAAAGAACCAACCAGAGACCGATGTTAAATCCACACAGGAGTTTATTAGTGGCCAGGACCCGAGCCAAGCATCGGACTGGAGCTCCGACTGGGGGTTGACAAACATGTTTTAGACATCTTTGAGGCCAATAGTTTCTAGGTGCCCCTATGGGATAGAACTAGTAAAGCAAGCAAAAGGTACAGAAGTAGAACGTCCTGCTGTTAGAACATTTGTAAAACAATAATTGATTAATTGTTATTTCTAAAGAGACTTTCTAAGGGGAGGAGGTTTTTAAGCTTCCTCCTTCTGAGTTCACGTAAAGGGCAGGCAGGTGGGTCAAGCAGCAATATGGAGTCTGTCTTGCTAACTAGGGTCCTTCAGTCATTACATAATGTATTAATTTCTTTTGCAGAATGACAAATCACTTCAAAATTTACTGGATTAAAATAACAACAGTTATTTTCATTATTTCTAAAGCATCTGTGGATCAGGAATTCAGAACAGGGCACAGTGCGGTTGGCTTGTCTCTGCTTTATAAAAATTGGAACTCTGGTTGAAAGATTCAGGGATTGAGATATTCTGAAGCCTCATCCTTCCTGTCTTGGTGTTGCTAAAATTGTTGGCTGAAACACCAACAGGTGTGTTCAATAGGAAACAGTTTACTACCGAGCAAAGTGTATTCTAATCTTTGAGTGGGTTCCTGTGTAACACTGAAAGATTGTGGCACTGATCTTTCGAACTATTTCCAAGTTTTGTATCAACACTGCTGTATTACTAGTAACTAAACTTTACACTTTTGTCCACTTGTCACTAGTCGTCCCATTAATGTTTTCTCTATTAGAATGCCATGTTGCAGTTAATCTCATTAGGTTCCTTTTAGCTCTGACAGTTTGATTTTTTTTTCTTTTCCTCCCTCTCTCTCTCCCCCCCCCCCCCCGCCCCTTCCTTTCTTTTTTTGTAACCCTGACTGGAGAAGAACTGGTTAAGTACTTTGCTTGATTTCTTTTTCATGGTTAGACGGAGATAATAATTTGGGCTGCCTTTTGGTTTTTTTAGAAATTGATTCAGTTTCCAGAGTCTACCAAAACAAAAGTATATTTCTTTTCACTCTTCCATTTAATATATCTTCAGTTTTCTTGACTGTCTACAGCACAAATTCCAATTACTCAGTACGGAACACAAAGCTTTTCAAAATCAGGTTCTGGTCTTCCTCCTCCGTTAAAAGTCCTATCCTAAAACTGAGGTCCAGCCAGAAACGAAGCCCTAAAAGTCTTGGCAATGCCCTGTCTCATCTAGGCATTCATTTCTGATTAATTCTACTGGGATTCTCTATACCCAAGAACATTCCTTAATACTGCTCTCCTCCCATTAACATTCATGCCCTTTCCAACTTCCAAGCCTCTTGACCTACAGGCTTCTAAATGCTTCTAAGGAAGTATTTAATGTGTGGTCATTCATTCACTCAACAACTATTCAACTGTGTTTTGTGAGAGGCATTATTGTATGGTTGAGAATATATTAAAAAGACAAAAGTCACTGCCTTCCTTGAGTTTACATTTTAGTAAGCAGAACACATTGCCAAAAAAAAAAATCATCTTTTCCCTTAGATATAGAGGAAACAAGAAGCTGTGATTAAGACATATGAGCAGTGTGAAGGACAGTATTACTTAGAGTGGAATGGGATCGTTTCATGAAAAATATTATAAATGTTGGTTTACTTGTCAGGTGCCAGACCGACCTTCCTTCCCTTTGACTGTCCAAGAAGCTGTCTAACTCAGGTTTGTTTCTAGCGCCTGATTCACCCTTATTTGTTAACAGCTGTGGAATAAACAAATGCCTGCAAAGTACCAAGTAAAAACTAAAACTCTGTTGCCTCCATTGTTCGCCCTGTATCTACCCATAGGTCAGGTATACCGAAAACCTGTTTTGTAAACAGAAGGTCAACACACCCCCAAGAGTCGCATTTGAGTCAGATATGATAACAAGGATATTGACAGCAGTCATTATGAGGAAGCTAGTATGGACTTCATATGTAAGTTTTAATTTAGAGATAAATATAATCCTCGGAAGATCTTTCTTTTCTATAGTTGAATTTAAGCCCGCTAAACCATTAGTGGGGAGTTCACACTTTATAAATTCTGCTAGAAGAATGAGGCTTCACGGTGACTCGTCCTCTAAGCTCTTCATACAGTCTTCAGAAGGGGGAGCATAACCGGCTTCGTAAACAAGAAGGTGACCGACATCTATTTCTACAGGAACCGACCCAGCGACCACGCACCGCCCATTTCCGGGTTGTCGCAGCCGCCGCCGTCGCATGCGTAATGACGTTACCATCTCCCGCAGACCCCGGAAGTGCAACTGGAACTTGGTCGGGGTGCTGATCCCGAGAGGGAAAGTCCCGACGACCTACCGCACGAGGGAGTTCCTCTAGCGAGCTGGAAGGCCACGCCTCCTCCCGCCTACCCCCGCAGCCCTGTAGCTGGGGGCAGAGGTCAGGTAGGAGTCGAGTCTGCGAGGATCTGAGCTACGGGACAGGCCTGGGTTCAATCCAAGTACGGGACTGGCTTGGATCAGCCTCAGGCGGGGGAGAGCTGGCCTTGAGGTCCGAGGCTGTCAGAAGCTACTCTTCGTTTCCAGGGGACACCGCTGACCTGAGTCGCAGACGCTACTGATGGGCAGTTTGCACTTGCCGTTTCCACTGTGGAGGCAGGAGGGACACACGTGTGTTCCCTGGACACTTGCCTTATATCTGAGCTTATGAGTTTCTGGGAGCCTCTAGGGACCTTAGCGTAATAGGCCCTCGGGCAGGTATTGCAGGTTTCTGGTTGCTTTCCATTCTTTCCTTTCCTTCGTTTCCTTCGTTTCCTTCCTTTCCTTCCTTCCTTCTTTTCTTTCATAACAGAAAGTGTTACCAACTGCAAACAGATTGAAGTGCAGCTATAAAATGCTTTCAAACTTTTAACATGCCATAACCATTGATGCGACGTTTCACTGGGATGCAATGAGTGCTTAGTCGAATATTTATGACTTTGAAATAAAGTTAGGTATGTTTTCGAAGTAGACCTGTCTCTCCCACATCTAGGTATTTAACACACTCTTCTAGTGTTCCAGGGTGTATATCCTTTGGGCCAAGTGATTGGCTACTTATCTTTTGGCTATAATTAAGGACCAGCTGAAAAAAGAAAGAAAAAGAACAATCAGTGTTGTTGCATTTGTTAAGTCCTCCCAAGTACTCAAAAGTCAAAGAGGGAAAATTCTGTGGTTTTCATTTACAAGTACCTTGTAATGTTTATCAAAAGAAATGCAATGCGATATTTGTCATTTGGCATACGGTTTGCTTTTGCTTTAATTAAGCAGCATCAGCAGTATATTGTTATTCTTTATCATTCCTAGTGAGGAACAGATATACTGTATTCATTTAGCATATTTAGAAGCTGAATCAGACAGTACTTTTTCATGTGCTTAATTAAGATCTCAGCATCAGTGCTAGTACTAGTTTTCTTTTTGACTTTTAAACTAAGTATTCCGGCCCCTTAACCAACAAAGCCTACGTTGAAAGACTAAAGATACTCTGGATGGCTTTGAGGCTGTGGCTCTTTCCAACACTTTTAAGTGGTGGAATAACACTCAGGGAAATATAATCTATGAAATGTGAGCATCCTTCTACACTCCTTTAGCAAGTAGTTACTAACCACCTTTACTGTGCTGCATAATGTCCCTGGTGCTGTTGGGAAGACAGTAGTAAACAAAATAGAAAATCCTTGTGTTCCTGGAGCTTACATTTTAGTGGGTGGAGAGTGACAGTAAACAAATAAACATATTATAAATGGTGAAAAGAAAAATAAAGCACTTAAATGGGAGAGAGAGTGATGGAGGATGCTATTTAAGATAGGGTGTTCAAGCTCAACCTCTGGATAGGGGACATTTGAGTGGAGATCTGAATGAAGTGTGGACTTGAGCTCTGCAGGTGTGTGGGAACAGATCTTTTAGGCTAGCACAAAGGGCTGGAGGCAAAAACATGTTTCACATAAGTTGGAATAGCAAGGATGTAAGCATCAGGGTTTAAAAATCTTGTGAATGGATATTTATTCAGTGATTTGTTGTGTGCATGAGGGGGCATATTGACAGCATATTTTTTCTAAACTTTCCCCAACAGACTTGTATGAGGGATTTTGTATAGGCTTGTGATGTTTCCAAGTTTTTGTTGAGCCTTAACGAAATTAAACACCATTTACCCAGTTGGATATAATTTATCCTTTGTTTTTTTCAGCTTGGTTTTGCATAGTATTCAGTAAGTAGCAAATACTCTGCCACCTGTCTACTTTACTTTTCATTCAGCTTTTTAAAAATCAAAGTAAAACATAGATACCATGAAAATTTCCATTTTAATCATTTAAGTGTGCATGCACATCATTATTATTGATCTCCAAAAATTATTCATCTTCCCCAACTGAAACTCTGAAATCTATTACAGCTAACTCCCCAGTCTTGACTACCCTCAGCCCCTGGCAACTACCAGTCTACTTTCTGTGCCTTTGGTACTGGAGACTGAACCCAGGGCCTTTGCATCAAGCTGCGTCTCAGCCCTTTTAAGATTTTGAGACAGGGTCTCACTGAGGTGCTAAGTTGCCCAGGCTGGGCCCTAGGTTGTGATCCTGCTGACTCAGCCTCCCAGGATGCTGGGGTTAGAAAGGTGCCCCACCAAGCCTGGCTGTGCCTATGAATTGGACTGCTGTAGATTCCTTATGTAAGTGCAGTTTGTACAGTATCATTCATCTATGTTGTCTTAGTTACTTTTCTTGTTACTAAGACACAGTACCCTATACCCTCAAGTTAAAAGAGGTAAGGTTTATTTCAGCTCAGTTTGTAGAGGTTTCAGTCTATGGTTGGCGGGCTCCAAGGCAGTGAGGCATGGCAGAGGGGCATTGTAGAGGAGAAACAGTTCATGGCGTGGCAGGCAGCAGGCAGTAAGCATCAAGCCTGCCTTTCCCTTTTATCTCATGCAGCTATAAGCCTTTTGAGTGGTACCACTCAATGGTGGACCTTTCCATTATCCACACCCAGAACTATGCTCAGCCAATCAGTGGACTATTATCATATCCTTAATCTATATCCATATACCTTTAATCCACATTTACGCACCCTAAATCTAGCCACCTCTGAAAAGTCCTACCTATGAGTGCATGAGGCCTTGAGGAGACATCTAGACACAAGGCATAAGATATGGACATTGGTTTGCTTCTACATTTTGGTTGTTGTAAATAATGCTCCTATGTGTGCAAATATCTGTTCTGGTCCCTGCTTTTATTTCTTTTGGTTATCAACCTAGAAGAAATTGCTAGGTTGTAAGGTAAATTGCTGTAGTTTGCATTTGAAGTGTTAGCCAGAAGCCGGTATTTTAAAGGTGTGGTTCCTAGGGAGTCACTATTGGTACATGATAGAACCACTGGGATGTGGGGCTAGTGGGAGGTTTAGATCATTGTGGGGGTGGCTTCCAGGAGATAGTGGACCCCAGTCACTTCCTCCTCTTTCTTTTGCTTTCTGGCCTGAGTGTTTTTGCTATAATCATGTGCTCCCACTGTGATGTGCTGCCGCACCACAAGCCCAAATCTGTGGGGCCAACTAATCATGGACTGAAACCTCCACAAATGTGAGCCTACATACAATTTTTGTCATTATAAGTTGATAATTTCAGTATTTGTTAAGTAATGTAAGCTGACTGACACACAAAACTGTGTTTAATTTTTTAAAGAACTGCCTACTCTTTTCCGCAAAGTCCATCCCATTTTACATTCCAACCAGCAGTGCACATGGATTCCAAATTCTCCACATCCTCACCAAACATATTTACCTTTTTTTTCTTAAAATAATAGCCGTTTTCAGAGATGTAAAGGAATATCTGTGGTTTTGATTTGCATCCTCCTAAAAAATAGGGATGTTGTGCATATTTTTATGTGTCTTTTGGCCATTGATGCAGCTTTAAAGTATGGGTTGCCTACCACCATATCACTTGTTGCTTTTTTAACCTAAAATTACTGTAATTGTAAATTTGTCAATTGTCTGTAGAGTAGGTATCTACAGTAACTCCAAACTTTAGCATCTTTTGTAACAATGTACAAATCTTTTGGTATCAGATAGTGATGACAACCGTTCAGAAAAGTCAAAGATCATCCTGATCTGCTTTGTTTTATTTTTAAAAAAAAATTTTTTTTTCCTTTGGAAGGAAGGAAGTATATTGATTGATTGGCTAGACCCTTTGGTTTAGTAGCTAAGAGGAGCCAGAAAAGGATAAGCCAGAAAATGTTGAAGAAACAGAGAAAAGATATGTTGGATAGCAATATAACAATTAGATGGCCCTAGATGGACAGTGGCAGAAGAGATCAGCACTAGTGATAAACAATGAGCATCACAACTGACAGCAGAAGAGAGGCAACCCAACACCAACTGACAGAAAATAATAAAGTTCTGTAGATTAGAATGGAATGGGGAGAGAGGAGAGGGTAGAGAGCAAATTGCCAGCTGCCTCTCACCTTATGGTTCTGAAATGGGGTATATTAGTTTAGGAAGATGTACTGTATAGCAAGTAATGTATGTCAGTTGATGGGGTTCAGCAGTGTTTGGAAGGTGTGCATGGTGTCTATTCCTACAGAAATAAACTGAGTTCTTCAAATCATGTACCACATTATTTCCATTCACAGAATAGACTTAATTAGATAATTGGATGTGTAATCTAACAATGTCCAACGTCATTAAATTTTTGTATATAATTTGTTTAAAAAGGAAAGGAATTTTAACATCTAGAATGTCCAATTGTCCATTAGTTTAAGGTAGCATGTATTTTTCATTTTTTAAAAAAATTTGTTTTATTGGTACACTTTAGGTATACAATATAATGACATTCATCATTGGAAATTTGCACCTTTACATAATCTCTCTTGGTTCTTATTTTTCCCCCTCCCCC